CAGTGGCAGTGCGAAGACGGTTGGACTAGATGATCTTATAGGTCGTTTCCAACCTTGTGATTCTATGATTCTATGAGCCAGCAGTGTGCCCAGGTGGCCAAGAAGGCCAATGGCATCCTGGTTTGTGTCAGAAATAGTGTTGCCTGCAGGAACAGGGAAGTGATTGTCCCCCTGTACTCAGCTCTGGTGAGGCCACACCTCGATTACTGTGACCAGTTTTGGGCCCCTCACTGCAAGAAAGACATTGAGGCCCTGGAATGTGTTCAGAGAAGGGCAACTAAGCTGGTGAGGGGTCTGGAGCACAGGCCTTACGAGGAGCGGCTGAGGGAGCTGGGATTGTTCAGTCTGGAGAAGAGGAAGCTTAGGGGAGACCTTATTGCTCTCTATAACTACCTGAAGGGAGCTTGTAGTGAGCTGGGGGTCAGCCTCTTCTCTTGTGTGACTAGTGACAGGACTAGAGGGAATGGCTTCAAGCTGCACCAGGGAAGGTTCAGGCTGGACATTAGAAAATACTCCCTTTCTGAAAGGGTGGTCAGGCACTGGAACGGGCTGCCCAGGGAGGTGGTGGAGTCACCAACCCTGGAGGTGTTCAAGGAACGTTTGGATGTTGTGTTGAGGGATGTGGTTTAGTGAGAACCATTGGTGATGGGTGAACGGTTGGACTGGATGATCCTGTGGGTCTTTTCCAACCTTAGTGATTCTATGATTCTTGCAGTGGGGCTGCAGCGAAAGGACTTTGCTGCAGCTTTGCATGTCTTCTACCCAGTTGGCACCACTTGCAGGTTGTCTTTCCTAAATTTGCAAGCAGCTTTACTTCGCATTGTCACAGGGACAGAAAACAGGCAGTTGGCTGTGACTGTTCTGATATCTGTTTCCAGTTGCCATAGATACTAAAAAGCATTTTCATTAGTTAGAGCTTTGTGTTAGGTGCTATACAAACACAGGAAAATATTATTTTTCTTGTTTCAAAGTAATTTTAATGATAGAGGATGAATTAAAATGAAAGCTAAAATGAAAGCTGACTGCCCCAGACAGGATAGCACTGATGTGCATGGGGGATTCCAGATGAAGCTGGAATCTCAACAGAGTAGCAGATTACAAAGCATATACGTTAAATAACTAGAAATTCTGAGAGATGCCGATGTAGCCTGAAAGTACAGATCTAGACAGATTCCAGTCAGCTGATAATGATGCTTTTTATCTACTTAATTCCTCCTTTTACTATGAAGTCTGGTAAATCCAATAATGGTGTTTTAAAGCCACTTTCTCAAGTATCTTTGTATAGAATTCATGGTAAAGGCAAGTAAAGTTGAAGGTACTGTGTTTATGTTATCTGAGTGTTGAATCAGTGCTGTGAATTAACTCATACTCTTTTTTTTCTTTCAGATTTTCTATTTTGTACATACACTGTTTTGTATATACTGTATACGATGACTTCAGTGGGCAGTGAACGTACCCGGGGCACTCGGGACAAAATGCAAACTTCAACCACACAGCCAATGCAACAACAGAAACAAGTAATACAGGTATGTGCTACTGTATAATAATTTTGGAGTTTGAAGTATGTAGACTTGAAGGGGATTGGCTCTGGATTGGAGGCTTGTATGCCAGTCCCTCTCCTGATAAGAGACAACTCTAAGGATTCATGGATGAAGCCAGGAGTGATAGTGACTAAACCCTTGCACATACAAAGGCAACCCTTAGGGAGTGGGACTAGGAGCCCAGTGAACAGGGTGTGGTGCATCATTAAGAGAGTGGTGCAATGGCTTACAAAGAAGTTCATGCAGGCAGAGTGGTATGTGAGGAAGGTCACAGTCCCTCTCCACTCAAGAGAGCAGCTCACCTAGTGGTCATCACTCTCCTGGAAGAGCTAGACTTAGCCACGGTCTCCACTTGGCTGAAAGCTGTTGCTAGAAAGAATGTGACAACCCAGATTAAACACCCACGCAAACATGCATCTTTACAGTTTACTGGCTGTAGGGAGTGACTGAGTCTGTCACAAATAGCAAGAGAGTAGCAGGGATACCACCTGCATGCATTGTGAGCAGGTGGATGATCCTTCATCTCTGCCACCAGACTGAGTAGGAAGTGGAAAGATTAAGGAATATTGTGGACTATGAAAGGGAGGTAGACTGGTGTAGCCACACCCTGCCATCCCTGTGAGAAGTGCACTGGGAGATTCTGCAACAAGTGGAGGATCTCCTACCTTCTTTCCAGCAGACAGAAGGAGGGGACCTAAGAGACAGGGAATAGCAGAAACAGGTTCTTGCTTGGTGGCAGGTAAATCCCCTTCTGGCCTTCCTCAACTTCCCAGGTGCCCTTGCACAACAGGTATAAGAGGCTCTGTAACTTGAGGGACAGGCAAATGAAGATGTTGGTGATGGTCCATCCAGGGGGTTGTCTAGGGCAAGTCAGTCAGCCCTGTACCTCAAGACTGCCTTTGTCAAGAACAAAAGAAGGGTGATTATCATAGATGACTCCCTTCTGAGGGGAACAGAGGGCCCAATATGTAAACCAGACTGTATTCACAGGGAAGTCTGCTGTCTCCCTGGGTCCAGGGTTAGAGTCAACTAGGAAGTTACTTGGTCTGGTATGGACCTCTGTTTATTACTGTCACGGAGTTATCTCTAAATCTGTGTGTCCATGACAGAGGGACAGAAGACTCACAGGCAAACTGACTGGAAAAGGGAGGAGGGAAGGGAACAAAAAGGGAAAGTAATAATAATAAATAAGAAAAAATACCACAGCAGCAATGATCTGAGGAGGAAAGTTAGTTTACTAATTATAATAGCAGAAATACAAGTTGTCACCACTTTATGCGCTGGGGTTAGGCCTGGTTCTGTGAAGAATGGGGTGGGAGAACCCACAGACCCATGCCCCAGGAAAGGGGGAAGGGGGAAAAAGAGGAAAGGGCAGGGAGATGGGCCTAAAAACAAAGCAGCGGCAACAATCTGAGGAGGAAAGCTAATTTACTAAATATGATAGTGGAATGCAAGATAATACAATATAAATATAATAAGAATTGAAGCTAATAGATGAGTGAGTGTCCAAAAACTGAAGGGCTTACTCTAATGCTGAAAGTGAGATGGCTAGGGAGTACACTCCGCAGAGACAAGCAGAAAGGAAAAAAGAGATGTCTTGTGATCTGCAAACAGTTTTATCTTTCCCTCTGAACGGAAAATGGAAACGCAAAGTCCCCTGGGGTATGTAGTTATCTTCTGAGAACCAGGTACTTGGAACTACCCACAATCCACAGAACTAGAGCATTAACTCTCTAACTCACAGTGCACTACAGGATGTTATGATGTGGAATAACGATAACAAAAGCCATAAAATCATGACAAAGACCAGATCCAGCAACAACCCCTGGGGAACACTGCTAGTTACAGGCCTTTGTCTTGATCCAATTACTGGAGGAGATGGTTCAACATATATACATACACCCAGAGGAAGATTAAGGCAGCAAACGAGGCCAAATGTTGTCCAATTTTTTTTTTTTTTTTTTTTTTTTTTTTTTAATAAATTCTAAGCTAGTAAGGAATGTGGGGAAGATGGGGAAGTCAGGTTAGGGTAAACAGAAACCCTAGCAAACCATTTACAAAGCAGAGATAGTCACCACCAGGGATCAAGCAACACATCGTTGGTCCATGGGGAGGCAGCAAGTTGGTCAATGTCTTGTTGACCTGCACAGCTGCAGTTCAGTGCAGGGGGTACTCATTCTTCCTTGTAATTCCTCAGGTTTTTATCCTTCCCATAGTGTCCTATTGGTTGCCAGGGGCAGCAGCTGGTCACCAGGGGCACCTCTGTTTGGTTCATCAGAGGTGATGGCATTTGCAACAGCATGTCCATAGTACCCATTGGGTAATCAGCAGTTGATCACAATTGTCACATGGTGGGCTGCTGGGTATGCACACTGACTGCATGGTGGCCTTCTCTTCCAAGATGACCCCCATAAGTCAGCTTGAATGCTGAAAAGAAGCAACAGCCTAAAACATACGCCCAGCCACGTCTCTTACGGCTGTGCTCATGGTAACCATTAACCCCAAAAGCTTGTTGAGTATGTTATGACTTGGATGGGTGCCACTGAACAAGCTTTGAGACAAAAAGCTTCCAGCTTCTTACAGCCTCCAACCAGACTCTGCACGGCTGATCACAACCCTCTGAGCTCTGCCAGTTCTCAATCCACCTCACCATCCATTCATCTACTCCACACTTCTTAAGTATCATAACAAGGAATGTCCGTGGGCTAGGGTGTTAGAAGGTAAGGGGGCCTGTGAGAGCTAGTCGGCATTTAAACAGCTCTTCTTCCAAGCCCAGGATCGGTGCATCCCTGTGAGCAAGAAATCAGGAAAGGGTGGCAGGAGACCTCTGCGGATGAGCAAGGAGCTCATGCGCAAACTCAAAGGGAAAAAGAAGGTCCATGAAATGTGGAAAAAGGGTGAATATAGAAATGTTGTCAGGGCCTGCAGGGATGCGACGAGGAAGGCTAAAGCCTGCCTGGAATTGAATCTGGCAAAGGTGGTAAAGGATAATAAAAAAGGCTTTTATAAGTATGTTAACAGTAAAAGGAAGACTAGGAAGAATGTGGCTCCCCTACTAAGTGAGGGGGGGTTCTGGTAACGGGGGATGCTGAGAAGGCGGAGATACTGAACGCCTTCTTTGCTTCTGTCTTCAGTGAAAAAGCTCCCCCTCGGGAATCCCAGGCCCTGGTGGTTAGTGAGAAGGTCTGGGGAATGGAAGACTTCCCTTTAGTTAGTCAGGGAAGAGGCGGTCCGAGAGCGCCTAGGCAACACCAATGTTCATAAATCCATGGGACCCAATGTGGTGCATCCATGGGTGCTGAGGGAGCTGGCAGAGGTGATTGCTGAACCGCTCTCTGTCATCTTTGAGAGGTCTTGGAGAATGGGGGAGGTGCCTGAAGACTGGAGGATAGCCAATGTCACTCCAGTTTTCAAAAAGGGCAAGAAGGAAGATCCAGGGAATTACAGGCCAGTCAGCCTCACCTCTGTCCCTGGAAAGGTGATGGAACAGCTTGTGCTGGATGCCATCTCCAGACAACTGGAAGAAAAGGAGGTTATCAGGAGTAGTCAGCACGGGTTCACCAGGGGGAGGTCGTGCTTGACCAACCTGGTAGCCTTCTATGATGTTGTCACTGGCTGGGTGGATGGGGGGAGAGCAGTGGATGTAGTCTACCTTGATTTCAGCAAGGCGTTTGACACTGTCTCCCATGACATCCTTTTAACAAAGCTGAGGAAGTGCAGGATAGATGAGTGGACAGTGAGGTGGGTTGAGAACTGGCTGACTGGCAG